AATGAAAGATGCTTAATTTATTTGTTTTTTAAAAACATTAAAAGCCAACATTGCAGTTTCCCCAAATGCATGTATCCCCTCAATGTGGTTCAAACACACCAGTGCAGTCCGTTGGAGAGCAACAGCACCACTTAACTACGAGCACAGTTACACACAAAGTATTCCCTAGTCTGCAGAGGATTCTTTCCGTTGTGCACTTTACATTAACATGCGAGCTTCAGGACTGTAAAAATACAGACAACAACAAACTGTGCCTTGAACCAGGAACATAACAGCACGTGTACTGGTGGCTTGGGGTTTACAACATACTGTACAAAGAATATCGAGAAAGTCTTGCTGCAGCTGAAGACAGCAGTGTTTGAAAATACTACAGAAATTCAAATATGACAAAGCAGAAAAGCCATTCAGTCTTTCATTCATTCAGACTGGATACAAAACAGCTTCTTAATACAAGTCCCTCATCAAAGTGTTTTAAGGATTTTAGAAAATCAGCTTCCATAAATGTAGCTTTATTCACTAAATTTTCAAAATGACTGGTTTAAATTTTTGTCATTACCAGACAATGATTTAAGTGAAGGATAATCTTAAAAGCAGAGCCAACTCTCTCTTTCCAACAGAAAGAAAGCTTACCTCATCGTATCTGATGAATGAGATAACCTTTGTTTTTGTTTCAATGCTGTCAGAGACTATGACTACCTGTAATTAAGATGTTTGATTTGACTTACTTTGCCTGAATCTATTTCTGAATGACCTAAACCAGCACCATAAAGCAACCCCCTTATAAGACCATTAAGCATTAAACAAATCTGCCAGTCTGTTTGAGATACTACTTTCAGATATTTAAATTTTTTACCACGCATAAAAACAGATCCTTACTGCAAAAAAAAAATGGAAACCACAGAACCAGTCATTTTCTACCAGAGGGAATTAAGTTAGTTTTACACATGACTTAAAAGTAAAGCCTGTGCAAAACAAAGGCTCTGGACTCGCACTGCCCACACACAGGCTGATCTGAGCACACATGAGGTTCCTGAGAAAGGCTAGCTGAATAGGTGTGGCTTTGAAACCAGGAATGGATTATGTGGTCCGCTTGCACACATAAAAAGAACAAAAATAAGAAGATTAAAGTAGCATTCTGTATTATGATTAAATCCCTTTGATGGACACAAAATGGTTTTGTTTCAAAATCCTGTTTCAGAGGTCTACCAGAGACTGGACAGTCACGCTGATCACGTTATGCTTTTTCTGATCCGTAGCTATAACAATGTACAGTGCTGGTTCTTTATGGCCACTGCAATGGAATAGTGCCTTTGAATGCCTTATGCTCCACAAGCCACATTCAGAATTTTCAGATGCAGCTCACAGTTCTTCTGCTGTTCATTTGACTTCTGAAAAGGTTGCACAGCACGTCTTCCAACATCAAAATTCCAACAGGCAATACAAATGCGAAATAACTCCTTAACCTTCATGGCACAGATAATTCTACAGCGGAGACCCTGTGACCTGCCCAATCACAGACACTCTGGCACATTGGCTCCATGTTTTTTTGGGGGGTTTTCAAGGGAAAGCCACCCCTTAATATGGCTTTTTTCTAGGTTTGATTACAGAACATTAACATAAGGCTTAAAAATTCAATTTTTATTTTTATTTAAAAGACCTTTACTGAGCTCCTTTTCTCCAGCTTTCTAAATATCCTAATCTTGCGGAACAGTCAAAAATGAAAAAAAACTGCAACTGTACACAACAGTCATTTACATACAATACACATTACAATGTTCTTAACCCAGTAATGCACGAAAAAAAAAACGTTATTATGTAACCCAATCATGTTGTATACTCTCCATCTAAGAAAACTCCTAACAGACCACTAAATGTGGCTTATTAGCATCTAATCCTGCCTACCATCCACCTGATAAAGAAGCATGGAGTATCATGATTATTTTCAGTCCATCTCTCAACATTAGTCAAAACAAGCACCTCTGAGATAAAACAAATGACTAGAGACAATGCTGGTTCTTGTTTTTAAAGATATTTTATATCTGTCGATTTCAATTCCCCAGTCATTTTCAGCCCACCAATAAACAAGGCAGAGGCAGCACAGAACAGGGCTCATTTACAGCAGGCAGGGGGGGGTTGAATGGAGATACATTTGTGAATTAGCAAGGAAGAAATCTTTGGCTTTGGGATATTGGCTTTCACTTGGGTATCATCCACCGGCTGCGAATACTGTAGGAGAGTACCGGACCTCTCAAACTGCAGGACATGTTTATGCAGAGGCATCCCCAAAGCCACACACAAGAAAATGCAGCACAGAATTCATGCTGCGCACTTTCAAATGTCCGTATCACACTTTGATTCTGATAGAAGAAAGCAATGCATAGTGCCCAGTACACTGAGTGTTCATCTTGAGTAACCCTATGCCCATTAATTTAACTAGATGTCATAAACACCTGTATGGAAAAACACATCAGCACTAATTTGAGAAAATGCATTAGTGGTACAGTACAATGCAGAAACTCAACACAGAGTGTAGGTCTCTCAATAAAACAAAGAACAGAAAAAATACTTGATTGTAAAGGGATCAAACTCAACGTTTCACTTCTGTTCCTGTCAATCACAGAGGCAAGCTAATGACTATGCCTTTGACTTGGATGTACCTATGGGTAAAATGATCCCCTAAAACAACATTATGTGAGGGGATAACATCATATGTAGCAGATAGTCTGATTATTTATAGCACAGATGGTCATATACACTTACAGGAGTGCAGGATGTCAAATTACTTTGTGATGATTGGGTGCAGTTTACCAAAGTTATATTCTGAAACCGTAGCTACTGTGAGAAAATATGCTGTAAAAAAAGCTTGGCTGACAGCTTGAAAGGACGATACAAAATCATTTAAGTAGCTCTTCTAAATTTAAATCCTTTGTCTTTCATCTTTAATTATTTCACTTATGAATAACATACTCACTTTCTGCATTCAAAATAGAGATCTAAAATGAGGTGAACAGTATAATAGAGACCCTATTAAGTAAACAAAGCTGGGGGGAAAAAAAACTAAAATTACGTTATTACTCTTGCTATTAGCGATATATGAGGATTAAAACCGAGTACGACGATTTGCTGACGTATTCCAGTACAACTCATCTATTACTCCGCAGAAATAGGGCACAAAATTGGACAGGGTGATGCAGGGTAAATGGTCCAGTCACTGGCTTGGATAGGTCAAACATAAAACAAGATGCCGCACATTTTTTCCCGAGAAACCCGAGGAACACCGCCGTGTTCCGGCAGCAACTGTCTCAACAAGCTCTTTAATGAGACGCCGATCGGACACACGGCAACAGGTGTCCTGTGCAAACGGCCACCTGCCCTGTCCTTTTGTTCACACGGCAGTATTTCTTAAACGCTTAATAAAGGCCACAGAGTAAAAAAAAAAAGTTCCATATCGCCTTTAAAATTCAATAATTGCGTTTAATTAACAGACTTGTTAAACAACATTTCAAAACTCAAGGACCTACATTTAGGAATCCTTCCAGGCTGAATGGTACTATTCCGAAGTACGGCGTACTAGACAAACTCAATATACTCCAGTTTGGTTTGTATGCAACGTAAATCAGTCTTCCGTGCAGTATAAATCAGAAGCACGATGATTACATATAAACGATGATTTTTTGCCCCAGAACCATATCAAAGTCAGAAGATGCATGAGCTCAATTTAAAAGATAATTGTAAAGGAAACGCTCATAGTAACGTTTCAATACCGACGGCTGTTATAATGCCAAGACCTTTAAATATTATCAAATGTCACTTAGAAAGGGTTCGTGGGGTAAATTACAGGGTTAGCGTTATACACCAGCTGTTCACAACAGCCGCACCCGAACACACAGTAATCTAACTTAAACCGCAAAACACCATAATTGAAAAGCATTTAATGGATAATCGGAATCAATTAGCTGCCGACAGGACACACGCCTTCCCCCGACATGCAAGAACAACCGTAGACTCTCCTAATCCACAAATCAGCACATTTAAACCAAAAGTCTGTTTCCACTGCAATCACTGTAGTGCGACAAAAAAAAAGGGAATGAATGAATCACTTTGTTTGGGGATATACAGTACTTTATGTTGCAGCCTCATTCCAAAATCCAGTGTGCGTGTTTTTGTTGTCCTTGGCGTGCTTACGCTTTACAACTTCTGAAAACACGAAACTTCTCTCGGGCTTTCGGCGCTGATCGCACCAGCGCTTCACGGTCTGGGCTTGGATGTCCGGACCTCGCCGGCCCTGCGCCTCCTTGTTGCTCTTTCAGGGCGACTGCGGTTTCCATGGCAGCCGCAGGTCACCCCACCAGCGCTACTATTCCTGCACGCTCGAGTGAACCCGCCGCAGATAATACCGGGCCGCCGCAATCAATCACTTCAAAACACAACTGCACGCCGAGCTCCATTTCAGTGGCCAGACACTATGGGGCACTATTCCCATAACGGCGAGTCCTGGGGCGCACACGCTTCACCGTAAAGCCGCTACATGCACTGCTGATGAGAGAAACCCTGCGCTACCTGCAGGCGAAACACCACCGAAATTGCGATGGTCTCTCGGCTTTTTGTTTAAAATGAAACGGAAGTAAAAGTTCCTTTCACCATCAAAACAAAAAGTGCGTTCCAATTCGGTCTTCCCTCGTAGCATTTCATTTTCTGAAACAGCTGCGTTACAGTCAAGTCTACGAAAACGTGAACTTAATTCAGCTGCAGTTTTAAACGTGCTTTCAAAGCCGTTAAATCCAATTGTTATACAGGGTATGTACCATAAACATGCATTAAACGCTGAAGCTACAGCAACTTTTAAAAACAACTTTTCTGGTTTGTATGACATCCTCAGTGAAACCGCTACACATCAGATCCTCGCTGTCACAAGTCAGAGCTGGTCAAAGTTATTTTCCCACCACTACATAACATGGTCCTTCCAAATTTACGTACCTCACATGAGCTTCAAAACTTACCCGTTAGGATGCAAATAATAAGCAAAACTATCGCATTCGTTCCCGGGAAACCCAGAGTAGTCCTGTGGCAATGAAATGACATTCTACCCGCCATGATTCCCAACTAACTCTCTCCCGAACTCTGGAGCCTCGCAGCCGCTCCATAAGGAGAGAGTCCCTGGACTGCACCACTGCCAGAGCGGGGGAGGACACTCGGGCTACAGAAACCGTTTATTAAACAAGCAGATTCAGCATCCCGCACTACATACTTTCATAGGCATTTGCACCTACGTTACTTTATTTGAAATATACATCTCTATGGAAAAGTGTATATATAGACGATTTACTTTGTGTCCTAGTTTGGTTTGCTTACATCCAATCGTACAGGCTCTTGAACTGCTCCTTCTGGAGATCAGGAAAAAGAAAAAACTGAATAACGGGCGTGCACTCGGTGCGTGGTATCTGATTTATTGCTGCTTCAATGACAATTGAGGGAAAGTGAAAGCGTCGTTGACTGATTTATTTTAAGTAATAGCATTACTTAGCAGTTGAGAAAACTCTTGTACAAAAAGCGGAACAGGGAAGAGCGCACGAAGTGTTTTTATTCAAACAGTCCGTGTCTCGAAAATGAGCACAACTTCGAAGCCTCTTCCATGCTGTTGGAACAGAAATAGGACCGCACCCCACGTTTAATAAAAAAAAACATCTCAAAAGTCTTTAATTTCCTTACACTCAACATCTATCTCAACATGTTATTAAACTAATTACTGAGAGTGTTCTAAAACATGGTGTTGCATATATAATTGTAAAAATATAAGCACAATTTGTGTTTTCAGGTGTATGGGCTGGATGATTCTAAAATAATGTATATCTAAGGCAGGTCAATGCTTGAAGTCATGAACGGAATTGATCATGGTACTGAAGTCAGTCTGAGAGGCATTGCAGCCAAACTACTCCTACCTTCAGGGAACTGGTGCCTGCTGGGGTGAAAATCAACACTGAGGAAGGGGTTTTGTAACAATAGGACCTGTCAAAGACATCTAAAATCAAAAGCAGGCAGACAAAGTCAGCTACAGCCCTGCTCTAAGCCTAGTTGTAAATGCTCAGGGCAGCTGGTTTGGAGTATAGACTGTGCAGGAAGGGAAGTCCCAGAATTCCATGGTAACTTCTCTGGCATTACACTGGGAGCTGTATTCTTTTCATAGCAAAGGATTTTTTTTGACCAAGGAGTATTTCACCAGCTGTCATCTTTGCTTACTAAAACAGCAGTTGTCAGTAAACATGTCCAGGAGGCTGGTGCTCACAAATATCCTGGGCTGTTTAATTTGTGTTCTGCAGGCTCTTCATCATTCATTATTAACAAGCAGCACATCTTGGTGAAACAGCTGCCTGAACTGCCCCTCCCACCCAAGTACCTCCAGGAGCTTTCCTCTGGGGTACATTTTTTAGTGTTTGTCCTTCAGTGTGCCCACCTTTCCTTGTTTCAGAGGAACCACAACATGACCTTTCTCAGTCATTAAAATCTATGTGTTCTAAATCAACTTGAGACAATTAGCATCTTTACACAGGTGGAGCCATAGACTTTACAAGTAGAAAAAATGAAATGTGACAAGTGAAGAGTGTTACCCTAAATCCAAAAAATGAAAATCACAAAACACTTACTGTAACTATAAGCTCCATCAGAGAGTTCTGGTCTGTGGGAAGGCCGAGAGTTAGTATGCCACTGTTTCTGGAGTCTGTGCAAACTGAAGTCCATTACTCCTTATTCTCTTTTACCCAGTGTAACCTTTTGGAGTGGAAGTAATTATTTCTCTTTATTTTATGAACAGTGCCAAGCTTCATGTTTAAAGCAGAACATTCTGTTGCCAAAAGAAAGGCATAAAATTACATGGTAGTGTAGTGTATTGGTGTGTTATGAGGTCATTTTAATCTCCTATCCAGGGGAGAGTAAAATATTACCACCCCACTCGAAGCTACAGAAAGTGGAATAGGATCCAACCTATCCGACCCTTTAGGATTATGTATTGTGATTCAACATTAGAATGTTAAAGAATCAAATTTAGAATAAAGGAAGATATTCAAAATGCAACCACTCTGGGGTGCACAGAAAATGTGAACATAGATATAGAATGATATTTTGAAATTCCAAATACTGCTAAATAATCTTAATGCACACTGAATTTCAGCATCCATACATTCATTATCTAACAGTTTAATCCAATTCAGGGTCACAAGGGGAGCCAGAGTCTATCCAGGTGCAAGGCAGGATACACCCTTGATGGGACACCCTCTTGGATAAAGCAGTAAGATGGAAAAAAATTGTAACAGACAAAATTGCTCTGGGCTGGGTCTTACTATTGAATGTCTTTGATTTCCTCCAAGCCATCCTCCATGAAATCCTAGATGAACTGAAAACCTGGGTCCATTCAGCAGTCTCTGATCAAAAGCTAAGCCCTTGTCAGCAGGTTTCTATTGGGTAGAAGAAGAAGGTTAACAGACCACTGGATTTGAAATCTGGGGCTGGCAGATGGCTTTAAGATTTAAATGACATCAGGGCTTTAGTCCCATAAACATACAATTATTATCCTCAGTCCCGACAAAGAGAACTAAGACTCAAAGGACAAAATTTGTTTTTCTCCAAATTGTCCTTGAAGTTCTAATGATGGTGAAGCATATGAAAACCAATAATAGGCGTATATTCATGCTAGGTTTTAATACCATAGTGCTTTTTTTTCCTGGTTTTACACGTCAAATGAATACACAGGATTCTGCATAAGCAATGAATCAACTGGTCTGAATTGGTAGATATAAGCTGTAAGTGATCTGTAAGGGATCTACAAGTGCTGTGCAAGTTAATGTATCCTCAAATAGGATACTTCTTGCCATCCGTGTAACAATGAAGAACAGGCTTGGCTGACCCCCCACCTACTCATGGTGAAAATGTTTAAATGGGGTGAGGCCAACTGTCCAGCAAATTTTCAAAGTAAATACGTCCTTGAAGTTATTGATGCCTTAAGGGTTTTACTGCCAATCTGTTACAAAAGGCCAGCAGGAAGGCTGTATTGCCTCCCCTGGCTCACATTGCTGAAAGGGATCACTGGGGTTACCCACAGTTCCACACTGTCCCTCTGTGTGATTACCTTTGCAGTGTCACAGAGATGGAGAGGAGAACCATAATGGCCACTGCTGCCATCTCAGTAAAAAAATAAAATAACCACAGTAAGGAAAAAAGGAATCTCACCTTCCCACAGCCAGACAAAAGGAATGTGTTACATGGATAAACAGGCAAGGAAGAGTTTAAACAAGCTGTTGTCTAAGACTGTTGTGTTTCCCCCTTTTTCTCTGTGTACACTAATATGAATACAACAAAAAATACCATGGAAACAGCAACAACAACAAAAGCAGCTAAAGCAACATACATAGACAGCGTCCATCTCCTCCTGCATATATCTTGTGACAGTTTATAAGGAAAGAATGTAATCCCCAAACTCCTGTCTTCAGAGTGATTACAGAATAGAGAAGTACTGTAGGTGCAGCTCCATTGTAAAAGCAATGTTGTTTTGGTAAAGCAAAATCAGTCATAAAGAAAGACTTTTAATCACCATTGAAAACTGTCCAGGACAAGTGAAATCTTATACCTACTTGTCATTTTCTATATATTTATGGACTAAAAATGCACACACATGAAAAAAAATAACATTACATGTATAAAAAATAATTTAAGAAGATTTTTAATAAATTGTTATGGGTATCAGTTAACTACACTTTGGACAAATCACAGAGATTTAACTGCACATATGTTAAACCCTTCTCTTAATTCTATACAAGACTGTATAGAATACGTGCTGAACCTTAGAAAATCACACAAACTGCTGAGTAATTAGTTACCTAGCTACCTACTAACACATACAGTAAGAGTATTTAATTGTATGTGTTGAGCAACAGGTAGACTGATCATGTTTGAGGTTGTTGTGAAAGTGCTTTGTGCTTGTATTTGTATTATTCAAATCCAAGATTATTTTTTTAATAAACATCACATTTTTAAGTGGTAAAATTATTAGTAATGTTATTTTTTTTAGTGTCATAATAAAACTAATAACTAGTAACTCATATATTTAATCAGAATTTAAAATAAATTTGTGAATACTCTGTTTCTAAATTTTTGTATTTATTTGTGGCACATAATAAATAATAAAATACGCAACACATTATGAATAAATACACAAGACACATTTTCTGCTGTGCAGCAAAGATTTTTAGGACACTTTTCATCAGTTTAATTTTTCTCAAAGGGACTTGCTGGTGCTTGTAAGGGTTTGCTGATGCTAATTTCTAACTGAATATCAGCGTTAATTCTTTTCTTTAGCTAATCCACAGCCTTCCTCCCACAAAACAAGCTAATCCACACAAGCCAATCTGTGCAATGAGCAGTGTTTGTCAAGAGTGCTTTTGGAATTTAATTGGGACATTTAGGTATTAAATGATTTAATCCAAGTGTGCAACAACTGAGCAAGGAACCTCGTAGTATCTTCGCATTGGAGGTTAATATCAACAAGATCTTCACAAGATGCTACAATGTGAATGACAAGGAAAGCCCCTGAATTATCCCTCCTTTAAATGAAGAAATCCTTTCCTCTTATATAGTTGTTAGCAAGTGCTCTGAGATACCATTTTGTTATATTCAAAGCTTCCTTTTTTGTGAGGCTGATTTATCTAAATATTCAATCACAAAAACAAATATAAAACAGCATTTTCAAGCTGCTTTCTAATTTGGCCTTACTGTATAAACAGGACCACATTTTTGATAAGCAGAACATTTGGCCCTTTTCTCTCAATGAATGGGCATGTTAACACAAAACAAGTTTTAACGAGTGCCATCAGGCAGAAAACATGGTTGCAATTTACAGGGAGGATGAGCAAAAACTATGAACCAGTCATCTGGGTTTCACTGAAGTGGGAAACAAGTGAAGTAAAGTGATTTGGAGGGTGTAGCAGATGTGCACAGTATTCACGACCTGGTGCTTGATTCCTCACTAACGTACCATGTCAAGACTAAAACTGCAATAGCCAAGAGTCTTCATATATATATATATGTACTGTAGCGCCTTTAAAAGCAATAGTCTCAAAGGGCTTAATATTCTGATTT